AGTCCCAGACCCGGTGGCTTAAACTCACGCTGGGCGCTTGTGCGTGCGTGCCCAAGATCCTGAGAGAAGAATGGAGGAGAAGGGATTGCGGCGTGGCCATCCCCCCTGGGGGGTGATTTCTCACTTTCTGTCTCTCTGTCTGTCTCTCTCTCTGGCGAGTGCACGCGCCTTATAGCAAAAAATCTCTCCAAAAAAAGAGAAATTCCCATGCCGGATACCTGAGAGCAGAGGCCGTGGGAAAGGAGATCCTCTTCCCTCTGGGGAAGTTCCGTGCCTGCTTCCTCTTGCCGCCATCGTCGTCTAGACGGGGCCCCTTCCTTCACCCCAGGTGGAAATGACCTGTAAGAACTCGCAGCTCCACTCTCCCAGGGTCAGCAGCATCTTCTCAGGCTCCCACCTTCCCCTTCCTTCCCCTCCTTTCCAGTGCTAAATGATACTCTCTTCCGGGATTTTACCTGAAGAGTTCCTCCTCCAGGAAGACTTCCCTGATTCATCACTCTTCAAGACTTGGGACTCCCCTGTGGGTGCCAGTGTTTCCTGAAGCACCTATCTGTAATAAGTACACGTGGCCCCTCACTAGGCTCAGACCCTTTGGATCGTGGGTGGTGCCTTGCTTCTCAGGGCTCCCCTAATTTCTAGCCCTGAGTCTACAACACAGAAATAAGCTGGGAAGGGACCAGCAGGTGGCCTAGTGCTTAAGGTGCTGGAAACTCCCACATGGCTGACTGCAGTTGGAGTCCCGGACCTGGTGGCTTTCTGTCTCACTCTCCCCCCTCTCTCTTTCTCTCTCTCTCTGGTCAAATTTTAAAAAATAATGAATAGGGACCAGCAGAGGGCGTAATGGCTACATCGCTGGACTCCCATTTAGTCGACCAGTAACGGCTATGTCGCTGGACTCCCACGTAGTCGACTGTGGTTCGAGTCCTAGACCCGGTAGTTTAAAACTCACACCAGGCACGTGTGCATGCATGCCCAGAATCCTGAGAGGAGAATGGAGAAGGGATTGCAGCATGGGGCGGGGAGGAATTTCTCACTTTCTGTCTCTCCCTATCGCAAAAATCTCTCTTAAAACACACACACACACACACACACACACACACACACACGATGTCACAGTTCTGCGGGTCAGGAGCCCACGTGCAGTTTGTACCGGTCCTCTGATTCAATCTCTCACCTCAAGGTGGTGGCCTGGGCTGTGGTCGCCTTGAGCCTCAACCCCATCACGGCTTTCTTCAGAAAGCAAGCAGCCCGGAAGTCACCTTACGTACCCTAATCTTGGGACACCCCATCCCTCGTGCTACATTCTGTTTGTTACAGGAGGATCACTAGGGAGCCAGCCCACGGTGTGGTGGTCAGGGTGACTGGATCCCACATGGCTGATCACACTGTTCAAGGCCTAGATGCAGCGGCTTGAGAAACACACGGGGCACGTGTGTGCGTGCCCCAAATCCCGAGAGGAAGATGGAGGGGAAGGGATTGGAGTGTGGCTACCTTCCCTGGGGGGTGCTTTCTCACTTTCCCTTTGTCTCTCTTGTCTCTGTGGCAAGCACACAGACCCTTTGGCAAAAAAATAAAAAATAAAAAAATAAAAAAGATGAAGAGGATCCGCAGCTCCAGCTCACGTTCAGGGGAGGGGACATGCGTGAACACCAGTGCAGGGACCTTTGGGAACCGTGTTAGAGGGCGTCTGCCACATTGAGGAGGCCTCTGGTTCTGAGTGGAGGCTGAAGCTATGCCCGGGGCCAGGCGAGCTGGGAGCAAGTGAGTCGGAAGGAGAACGGGACGAGGCAGAGCCCGGGAGTGCTGGGGCTTAGAGTCTGGAAGGTGAACAGAGGGCCGGAGAGTGACAGCCCAGGAGTCCCAGAGATATCCGTGGGCAGAGACCCTGGGAGCAGGTGCGCCAAGGTGGAGAACTGACCACCGGGTTGGGCGACGTGGAGATCGCCCTAACAGAGCAAGCAGCAGTGGACTGGTGGAGTGCGGCCCCGCTGGGGGTTCTAGGGAGAATGGGGGCCCAGGAACAGAGGCAGAGGCAAAGTCTTGGTCTGGAGGGAGTGCAGACTTGTGTCCGAGGGTCTTAAGCTTTCCTGTACGAGTACCTGTGGGTTGAGCTGAGTTTTGGAACCCTGCTCACCCTTCATTTCTTCCCTTTCCAGCCTCGCCATGGCCCCCCAACTGGGATGGGGAGCAGAAGCAGAAGTCTGTGTTTTACTCTTTTTTTTTTTTTTTTTCCACTGGTTTGCTCGGAGCCCGGCCTTTGCTGCCGTGTGACCGCGATCGCATCGCTTAGGCGCTCGGAGCCTCAGTTTCATCACACTGAGAAGCACTAGGACTCAAACCCCGCGAGGTGGTGACTACAACGAGCTCTCAGTAAAAAGGGCTCTCCCGGGCCGGCAGGTGATATAATAGTTACGTCGCTGGACTCCTACATGGCCTACTGTGGTTCGAGTCCTGGACCCAGCGGCTTGAAACTCACACCGGGCGCGTATGCGCAGACATCCCCAAAATCCCAAAAGGAGAATGGAGGAGAAGAGAGTGTGGCATGGCTATCCCCTCTGGGGGGTGATTTCTTGCTTTCTGTCTCTCTGTCTCTCTAGTGAGTGAACACACCCTGTACCAAAAATCTCTCTTCAAAAAAAAAGGAGCTCTCCCTCAGTTAATGGCAGAGGCCAACGAGCTCTCAATACTATGTTGTTTTAAAATAGTGGAGCTGGCAGGTGGTGTGGTGGTTAAAGGGCTGGACTCTCACATGGTGAACCACAGTTTGAGTCCTGGACCTGGCTTTTTCACTTTCTTTCTCCGTCTCTCTGTTCAAATTAAAAAACTAATAATAACAGGGGCCCACAGGTGGTGTGGTGGTGAAGGCCCAGGACTCCCACATGGGCAACCATAGTTAGAGCTCCAGATCTGGAGGCCTGCTTTCTCATTTTCTCTCTCTTTGTCTCTTTCCGGTGAGCACACATGCACAAATTAAAATAAATAAATAAATGAATGAATAAATGAATAAAATAATTAATTAAAAATACTAATAGCAAATAAAATGAAATAAATAGTCCTTAAAGTTCTAAAATAGTGAGATAGAATTGAGGACTCAACTGAGGACAATACTGCCCCCTAGGGGATATTTGGCGATGTCGGAGGTAATTCCGGTTGTCACCCAGCGGAGAGGACAGGAGGATGCTACTGCCATCTAGTGGTGCAGCCGGGGAGGCTGCAGAGCACGGTGCCCTCACAAGACAGTTACCTGATCCGGAATGTGAATGAAGCGGAAGCGGGGAGGCCCTGGGGCGTTCTTAGGTGGGGCCTCTTCTTGCCCAGTTATCAGGAACCAACCAGGAGCTGCCGAGGGGTTCTGTGTGCGGCACGTGCAGTAGTAAAGGGGCTCCTAGAACACCGAGCTCTCCGCCGCCACCACCGCCCGCAGGCCATCTGGGGTCATGGAATTTGAAACGAATTACAGTGGAATTTTTCACTTTCTTTCTCCGTCTCTCTGTTCAAATTAAAAAACTAATAATAACAGGGGCCCACAGGTGGTGTGGTGGTGAAGGCCCAGGACTCCCACATGGGCAACCATAGTTAGAGCTCCAGATCTGGAGGCCTGCTTTCTCATTTTCTCTCTCTTTGTCTCTTTCCGGTGAGCACACATGCACAAATTAAAATAAATAAATAAATGAATGAATAAATGAATAAAATAATTAATTAAAAATACTAATAGCAAATAAAATGAAATAAATAGTCCTTAAAGTTCTAAAATAGTGAGATAGAATTGAGGACTCAACTGAGGACAATACTGCCCCCTAGGGGATATTTGGCGATGTCGGAGGTAATTCCGGTTGTCACCCAGCGGAGAGGACAGGAGGATGCTACTGCCATCTAGTGGTGCAGCCGGGGAGGCTGCAGAGCACGGTGCCCTCACAAGACAGTTACCTGATCCGGAATGTGAATGAAGCGGAAGCGGGGAGGCCCTGGGGCGTTCTTAGGTGGGGCCTCTTCTTGCCCAGTTATCAGGAACCAACCAGGAGCTGCCGAGGGGTTCTGTGTGCGGCACGTGCAGTAGTAAAGGGGCTCCTAGAACACGGAGCTCTCCGCTGCCGCCCGTCGCCACCGCCCGCCGGCCATCTGTGGTCATGGAATTTGAAACGAATTACAGTGGAATAAAAGTTCAAATTTGGTGGGCCAGATTGGTGGCATGGTAGTTAAGGCAGCGGATCCCACATGGCCATTTACACAGTACGAGTCCCGGACCCAGCGGCTTGAGAAATACACTAGGTGCGTGTGTGTGCCCAAAACTTGGAAAGGAGGGAGAAGTGGAGACAGCATTGTGGTATGGCCATGACCCATCGGGGTGCCATCGGGGTGCGTCCTCATGACCTCCCCTCTCCCCTGTCTGTGTCCGTGTCTCTTTCTGGAGACTACACATGCCCACTGGCATATATATATATGTTTGTTTTTGTTTTTGCCATGGGGCATATGCGCTTGCCAAAGAGAGACAGAGAGGAGATGAGAGGGAAAGTGACAAATCCCTCTGGGGGGATGGCCACACTGCAGTCCCTTCTCCTCCGGTCTCCTCTTGGGATCTTGGCACAAGCACACGTACCTGGCATGGTGGAAGTCCAGCCCCGTAACCACCACACCACTGTACCTGGCATGGTGGAAGTCCAGCCCCATAACCACCACACCACCTGCTGGCCCCTGGCATCTTTTTTTTTTTTAATTCTAAGAAAATTTCAAATTTAGGAACTAGCAGATGGAATAGCAGTTATGTTGCTGGACTCTCCTATGGCCGACTGTGGTTGGAGTCCTGGACTCAGTGGCTCGAAACTCCTGCTGGGCGCCTGTGTGTGCGTGCCCAAGATCCCAGGAGAACGGAGGAGAAGGGATTAGGCGTGGCCATCCCGGGGGGGGGGGTGATTTCTCATTCTCCCTCTCACTGTGTCTGTATGTCTCTCCCGTGGTGAATACAAACTCCCTAAGACAAAAACATCCACAAAAAGAAAGAAAGGAAAAAAGAAAAAGAAAGTTCAAATTTGGCTAGTGGGTTGGCCATAGCCACATTCCAATCCCTCAGGAGCCGTCCGTGGCTCGTGGACAGCATGCATGTAGAACACGTCCACCAGCCCAGAAAGTTCTCTTGGCAGCACTGCTCCAAAAGGACTTAGCAGAACCTCGCAGCGGAGGGCCAGTCCTCAAGAGAAAGCTGACAAGCTAAGGGAGTGCAGAGAGGAGACTGCAAAAACACCCCGATGCGTTGGCTAAAGAAGCACGAAAGCAGTTTACCAGCCACTGCTGCAACAAGTCACGCGCCACACACACGCCACCCTCCCACCCCCAAGAATCACCGCTCGGTGCGTACAACGCGAAAACCCTGCTAAGGCAAGCAGCCTCTGCAGGCAGGCGGGGAGAAGTGCTCCTGTCTCCCGCCTTCCCGGCCTGGTTCAGGTTAACTTGCGATAGAACGTCCCCCAGGTGATGGGCGTCCAGGAGTCCACAGTACTGATGGAGGAATGCCTGCGGTGTTCCGTCTTGCTCGTAATCTTGGGGTCCTTGTACACGGCATACGCGTACTTGACGATGCAGGGCAGACAGCCGAAGTGCAGGAGCATGCGCGAGATCTGCAAGACCAGGTGCAAGTAGCTGAGCTCCCGGAACTGCTCCTTGATGATGCCGTTGGTGAGCAGGACCATGGAGAAGCCCATGAGCTCGTAGACTATGATCCACAAGGCATAGACCAGCAGCCCCGGGTAGGTATTCCTGTGGATGCAGCAGAGGAGGAGGTAGCTGATAAGGATCGTGGTGGTGGACAGGACAATGCTGATGGTGTACTTGTGGGCGAGGATCCAAGAGACCAGCTTAGACTTGGTGTCGGTGTAGATGTTGAACCTGTCCTCGTAGCCGACATATGTGACCTGGTTCAGGTCAATGATGCAGAACTGGATGGTGCTGAGGATGGAGAAGATGCCCGCCATGAAGGAGAACACCTTGGCATTCATTTTATGCTTGTTCTACCAGAGCAGCTCCTGCAGGGGAAAAAAAAATCATGGGATACGTGACAAATCATCCCAGGACAGCCCAGGACAAATCCCCTCAGACGCGAGGTGTAAACGGGGGAGCCAAGAGCAGTGGCAGCGCGTGGATATGCCACGGGCTGGAAGTGAGCAGACACGCGGTCCAGGCCCTGTTCTGACCAAGCTAGCTACAGGTGACTACACTGGTGGGCTGGGATACTCCATGTTTTTTCCTCTTATTTACTTATTCATGATTATTTTTATTATTTTTAATTTGACCAGAGAGGGACAGAGTGAGAGAAGGAAAGTGAGAAAGCAAGCCAAGTCCGGGACTCGAACCATAGTCAGCCATGTGGAAGCCCAGCGCTCTTAACCACCACGCCACCTGCCGCCCCCTATATCTGTTTTTTGTTATTTATGTATTGCCAAAAGGTATGCACACTTGCCAGATAGCGAGACAGAAGCAGAGGAGAGGAGAAAGCCCTCCCTAGGGAAAATGGTCATGTCACAATCCCTTCTCCCCCGTTTCTCTCTCTTTTCAGGATCTGGGGCACGCATGCAAACACACACATACATAGAATGGTTTTCAAGTCACTGGGTCTGAGACTCAAACCACGCAGTGGGCCATCTGGGATCCAGCCCCTTAACCACTACACCACCGGAGGCCCCGGGCTGGAATACTCCACGGTGGCTGCCTTTGGAGTATCTGCCATTCCAGCTCCAGCTCTGGTTTAAGGGAGCAGAAGGCGTGTTCCCGTAGGTGTGGGTTCATGGGATTAGGAGGCTCCGATAGCTAGAATAATGATGGAAGGTGTTCTGGGCTCCTCTCTGAGGTATTTGTCTCTCTGAAGTCAAAAAGCTGTCATGGCTCCGCAAGGGCTTAGAGCCGTGGTCCCCAACTTTCCCAGCACCAGGGGCTGGCCTCATGGAAGATAACCCCTCCACTGTCAGGGGGCAGGGGCTGGTCCCCAGATGACCCAGGTTCACCACATCCGTCATGCACCCCATTTTCACAACTACCACATTGCTATATACAATCGCGTGACAATAGGGTTTGAGCTCCCATGAGAATTCAATACTACACCCGGGGACCAGCATGCTGGTGGTGTGGTGGTTAAGGCGCTGGAAAAGTGAGAAAGCAAGCCAAGTCCGGGACTCGAACCATAGTCAGCCATGTGGAAGCCCAGCGCTCTTAACCACCACGCCACCTGCCGCCCCCTATATCTGTTTTTTGTTATTTATGTATTGCCAAAAGGTATGCACACTTGCCAGATAGCGAGACAGAAGCAGAGGAGAGGAGAAAGCCCTCCCTAGGGAAAATGGTCATGTCACAATCCCTTCTCCCCCGTTTCTCTCTCTTTTCAGGATCTGGGGCACGCATGCAAACACACACATACATAGAATGGTTTTCAAGTCACTGGGTCTGAGACTCAAACCACGCAGTGGGCCATCTGGGATCCAGCCCCTTAACCACTACACCACCGGAGGCCCCGGGCTGGAATACTCCACGGTGGCTGCCTTTGGAGTATCTGCCATTCCAGCTCCAGCTCTGGTTTAAGGGAGCAGAAGGCGTGTTCCCGTAGGTGTGGGTTCATGGGATTAGGAGGCTCCGATAGCTAGAATAATGATGGAAGGTGTTCTGGGCTCCTCTCTGAGGTATTTGTCTCTCTGAAGTCAAAAAGCTGTCATGGCTCCGCAAGGGCTTAGAGCCGTGGTCCCCAACTTTCCCAGCACCAGGGGCTGGCCTCATGGAAGATAACCCCTCCACTGTCAGGGGGCAGGGGCTGGTCCCCAGATGACCCAGGTTCACCACATCCGTCATGCACCCCATTTTCACAACTACCACATTGCTATATACAATCGCGTGACAATAGGGTTTGAGCTCCCATGAGAATTCAATACTACACCCGGGGACCAGCATGCTGGTGGTGTGGTGGTTAAGGCGCTGGACACGCCCACATAGGTGACCACGGTTCGAGTCTCGGACCTGGTGGCTTGCTTTCTCACTTTTCCTCTGACCCTCTCCCTGTATCTTTCTCTGGTCAACTTAACATAAAATGAATAAATAAATAAAATGAAATAAGAATAATTAAAAAATAATTCAATACTACACTGACCCACCTGGAGACAGAGCCCAGGCGGCCGTGGAAGAGATGAGTGGCTGCAAACACACACGCACACGCATGCGTACGCACACGCACGAAGCCTCCCCTGCTTGTCCACTACTCACCCACCACTGTGCAGCCCAGTGGTAGAGGCAGGAGGCCACGGGCCAGACTGGCACTGCTCTGCAGCCCGGCCCCCAGCAGGCCACGGACCAGCACCAGTCTGCCCCCATAGGTCGGGGACCCCGGCTTAGAATCATCCTGACCCTCCTCAGACCCTCTTTCCTTCCAAGCTCTTAGAAAAGGAAGTTTCCTGCTTTGCTCACCGGGTGTGCCTCAGCCTTGTCCTAACCACAGGGTTTGGCCAGCAGCAAGTGAATGGGACGTTTGTGGATGCAAGACATGCTATCTTCTCCTCCTAGGACAAAGACGCCTTGACACAGCCGCCCCCGTGCAGGCGCAGCCCAGCAGGCAGACCGCCAGCTGCCATGTAGGTTAGACTTGGACTCGAGGCTGGCCCCAGACAGTGTGGGGTCACTGAGGGCCCAGAGCCCAAAGCTGGGCGATCACCTTCTTACTGGCTCCCATTCAGAGGTCTCGTGATCAAACCTCTCTCCTCCTCACTCACCAAACTGGTGAGCTACCCCTGCGAGGGGAGGCGACAAGGAGATGGTCACACTCCAGGGGAACGCACGCCTGTCCTCCGGCTGCTGTCCGTCAGTGGACGGCCACGGCGGGAGCCTGGCCTGGCCTCTTGCTGATTTGACCTGAATAGGGTCCTCCTGTCATTACACAGACGAGCGCACACAGGCCTCCTTCCAGCCTCTCCTCCTCATTCACCAGGTCAACCCCAATACAGTAAAATATACATAACATCTCATTTACTATCTTAGCCTTTTTTTTTTTAATTGCCAGAGAGAGAGAGAGAGACAAAGAGAAGGAGAATACACCCTCCAGTGGGGCGTAGTCACACCACTAACCCGTCTCCATTTCTCCATCCTGCAAGGATTTAAGGCACACATGCACATGTGCCTAGTGTGTTTTTCACACACTACGGGGTGGGATTTGGACTATGGTTGGCCAAGTGGAGTCCAACTACGGGGTCATTCAATTTTTTAAAAAAAATATTTATTTATTTTGTTATTATTATTTTTAGTGTTTTAACTTGACAGAGAGAGAGAGAGAGAAAGGGCAAGAGAGAAAGCAAGCTGCCAGGTCTGGGACTTGAACCACAGCCAGCCATGTGGGAGTCCAGCACCTTAACCACTACACCACCTGCTGGCCCCACCATCCCCATTTTAACTCCTTTACAGTATACAGTTCAGTGGCATTAAGCACATTCATATTATGTAATTCTACTTCCATCTTGTTTTCTTTTTTTAAAAAAAATTCTTTTATTTAATTTTATTTATTTATTATTATTATTTTAAATTTTGACCAGAGAGAAACAAAGAAAGAAAGAAATAAAGAGGAAAGTGAGAAAGGAAGCCACCAGGTCCAGGACTCAAACTGTGGGTGGCCATGTGGGAGTCTAGTGCCTTAACCACCATGCCACCTGCTGGACCCTCTGTTATTATTATTTTTTAAATTTGCTATAGGGTATGTGCACACACTGTAGAGAGACAGACAGACAGAGAGAAGGTAAGCTGCCAGGTCCTGGACTCAAACTGTGGTCAGCCATGTGGGAGTCCAGTGCCTCTAATCACCATGCCACCTGCTGGCCCCACGTTGAACCATTTTTTACACTATAAACAGAAATGAACTCAAAATGAATCAAAGACTTAAATGTAAAAGTTAAAGCTATAAAACCCTTATAAGAAAACATAGAGGAAAAGTTTCATGACATTAGGTTCGGCAATGATTTCTTGGAAATAACACCAAAGGCAACAAAGGAAAAAAAAAAAGGTAAGTTTCAAAATTTGAAACTTCCGAGCAACAAAGGATACAATAAATCGAGTGAAAAGGCAACACACACAATGGGAGAGAATATTTGCAAATCATATATATGATAAAGAGTTAATATAGAGAATATATAAAGAACTTCTAAAACTGAACAAACAACAAGAAAACCTGCTTTAAAAATAGGCAGAGGAGGGGCCGACAGGTGGCGTGGTGGTTAAGGGTACTGGACTCCCACAAGGCCAA